TCTGCTTACCTGCTCTGCTTTGGTGGAGGAAAAGTTCTCCAGCATACCTGCCTGTTTCTTGTTTTCCTAAGCAGCTGTGCACTTACTACCCTTTCTTAGCAAATTCTTCCAAGATGGAGATATGCACCTTTTTGTTTATTTAATATGTTCCTCTAAGACCTCACTGAACGTCCCACTCTGTTGAAAGATTTACCCGGATCGCCACATACCTCTATTGCAGAATTTGTCATGTTATATTGAGGGTGTTTACATGCCTATCTCCCTCCTGACACATACACCCTCCACGACAGTAGGTCTTAGAGCAGCTGAGACTCTGTGGCAGGTACACAGCTCCAGGTCCCTTTAGAGTGTCAACTGACATGCGGCAAGATGTTTCATAAAATGCTTGAGAGGTGAAGGCAGACTGCATGATTTCATGGGAAACAAACTTCCTCAAGTAAGAAGACTTGGGATTGGTTTTGGCCTTGATGCTATCTCTATGACCTTGAGAAGTCACTGAACTCTATTTCTCTCATCCATGATACATATTACTAACTGTCTGACTCACCTGCACACAGGGCTTACATTCAGCTGATGTTACATGATGGTTACATGAGGTTTTAACATATTGAAACATTTCTATAGGCTGGTAAATAGTCTTCACTCCAACCCCTATGTGTTTGCTGACTTAGCCACATTTACTCCTGCCCTGCAGCCTCCACAGTTCTTTCTGAAGGTAACCAAAGGGAGAATATACCTCAGGAGGCCTCTAGAACCCGGCCCTGGTACTAGGGCTGCCATCCCTTTTGATGAGTCAGTGCGCTTCTGTTCTACCTGCTAATAAATATTGTGAGTATCACTCTTAACTCTACCAGAGGGTTGGGATGCCACCAAATGATACAGGGCATGCCAACATTTTGCACACTGTGAAGGGTTGCATACCGTAACTCCCCAGAAGGTATTAGAGCCACAAAGGAGAGAAGCGGCTTGTTTCTAAAGTACAGCTCACCCACTATTTAGTTGAAGGCTGAGGAAGGACTTGGTGGGGAGGGCTTGACATGCCCACAAGCTAACTGAAGGGAGTTTCTCACCAAGCCTCTTTAAAAGTGACTTGTCTGAATTCCTTGCTGCAGCAGCCTAGGATTCAATTTGCAGCTCTTTTAAGCGCACACACCATCAGCTCTGTTCTCCCAGCCCAGTCCGATTGCTCACAATTAGAAGCCCATTTCACTCTGCTGTTAGTTTGCAGGTGTCCCCTTAGGTAGGACAAGAGCAGCCTGGAAGTGGAGGTGGAGGGTGGGGAGAGCAGGCTGGCAGGAATGAGGGTTTGCATGATCTGGTATTTATGGAAAATTGGATGTGCTAATGAACCTGAGATCCATCAGAGCTTTCTCAAGGCAGGATGGTCTCTGTCAACATACCAATTAGCACACAATTATTTGCCCTTTCTGAAAGCTTATCTGAGGCACTCTTTGAACAGCGTGTGCCTGAGTGAACTACACTGTCCATTACCTGGATAGGCCTTCTTTATAATCTGCCGAACCTGTCTACCTCTTCTGCAGAGAAAAGTGCAGGCTTCTCTTGAACAATCCTCCAGAGATGCTGGGGTTTTCCTCACATTGGGGCAAGGGGTAGAGGGGGGTCTCAGGCTATTCTGCTTACTCAAGTCATTACTCAGGCAATATCTGCAAGGGGACCTCTCCAGCTCCCTCTATCCTTTTCACTTCCTTACTTCTGAAGGGAGGAGAGAGTCTCAGAGCAGAATAGCAATGAAAAGCACTATGACTTTGGGAACTAGTGAAACTTGAGTGGCCCTTCCTCACTCTTCAGGTCCTTCTTTCTAACAGGAAATGAGCATAAGGATCATGGTCTTTGTCTGTTCCTCATTCCCATCCTTGTGCCACAATTAAAGCGAAGCTACTTACACCCTTTCAGTGACTTACCTAATTGATTGTCTGCTTGTGGAACTGACCTTTAGAAGCAGCAAAGTAAAGGTCAGAAAACTGCATCAAAGACAGCCCAGCATGATGAACAAGATCATGGTGGTGGGGGGGGAAGCAGATGCATTGGTGGCAGGTAGGGATAGGGGAGGGAAAAGAAGGAAAGGAAAGCTCTTATTGTGACTGTTCTCTAGCCTGTCCTCCTCTTTGGGTCACTTCTTACTCCCACTTAAGGCTTGTTAGCTTCCTTCTTTCCTGGACCTGGTTGGTGAGTGACCATGTCAGGAGTAAGTGGATGGAAAAGCCAGTGAAAAACCCAATGGTGATGGAGTCGCCAGCCTTCCTATAGGCAGGGACAGGCAAGCCTCCGAATACCATATCCCTGTGTCCCACCTCTGTCCATCAGCCTACCCTACCCTGGAGGGGCAAACTTCCCCAGAGTAGCTGGGACAGTTATTGGCCATGGCTCTTTATATGGGGAATTTTATACCATATAGAAAGTGAAGACTTTGCCTTGAAATATGGCTGCCTCTGCTTCCCCTGTCCAGTGTGACCAGTAGCCAATCACCCACTCACCCAATAAAGAAACATGATTCAGCACCTGTGTCCACATGTGGAGGGGGCAGGCTCACGTGTAACAGCCAGAACACTGAGGTTATTTAAATACATTTCCACTTGTCTCTAAGCTTTTACTGGCCATGACTCTGTCTTATTCATCTGTGAGTTCCAGATACTCCTTGGATATTGGTTAAATGAAAAAGTGAGTGAGTAAAAGAATGAATGAATGAGCCAAATAAATCTTATCCTTGCAGATGACTGTATGACCTGGAATAAATCATTTAACTTACCTGGGCCTTGGTTTCCTAATCTGCATTATGAGGATAATCAAACTGATCTGAAGTCTCTACAACTTGTTTTGCTCAATGTCAACATTCTGTGAAGAGAACAGATCACCAAAACATGTTGGGGGGACTGGTCTGTTTAGAATATTTGTGTTTGGCAGCGATGGCATGTAAGGGGTTTAGACTCACTTTATTTTCTGTAGTCTTTTGACCTGCCTGCTCAGGAGGCAAAAAGATATTGAACTGGAGTCCGAAGACTCTAAAGTTAGAATCCTCTTTCTGCTACTCAACAGCTCTGTGGTCTCAAGGACTGTAACTCTCTGAACCTTACTTTCCTCCTTGGAGAGTGATAGTAATGAGGTTTGACCCAGAGAGTTCTTGGGGAAGTTACGTGGGATGCTCTCGGAGGAAGAATTTGGAAAACAGTGGAGAAGCTGTCCCTGCCCCTGTCGCGGCCCTGATCTAGTTCTCCCTGCTGCCTCTCACATTCCGTGTCTATTGCTGCCCCTTAGTATTTGTGTGGAGTTACCCTTCTTCTTCAATTTCCTCTTCCTTCCCTGCCACCCCTACTTGTCCTTTAAAACCAAATCGCGGCTTGCTTACTTCCTTCACAAAGCCTTCGCGGACTATTTCAAGCTACAGGAATCCCTCCTGTCTCTCTCCCAATTGTTTCTGCTCAGCATCACACAATCTCTCACTTTATCACTCTGTTCCATGTGCATTTTTTAAACCTAGGTCTACTAAACTCTCTTGAAGAATGGCCCGTACCCTTTGATATTCACCATGGTAATAAGCCGGGTGCTGCACGCGTGCACTACGCATTTCCAAGCCCATGTGCTACAGAGATCACACTATCCCTTCTCCTTTTCCCATCTTCCCACCTGTCCGCTCCCTACTTCTCCTTAGGGACCAACACAGATGGTGTCTTCTCGGCTACTTCGTCTCTTGTTTTCCTTGATGTAGAGCTGTGCTTCCTTAGAGCTCACCGTGATGAGGGTTTCTACAGTGACTTGGATGTCTACCAGTCAGCAGTGTAGGCACCTGTCTCCCCAACAGGTTGTGACCTCCTAGAGGATGCAGTATGCAATGTGTACATTGTTGCACACACCTCTCTAACCCGAAAAGCCTGGAACATACTATATATGCATTCTCTTGTCTATTGTGTTCCTACTATGTGTCAGAAACTGTGTTAATTGCTGTCGATAACATGGTGAGCAAAATAAATATAAGCTTCCCCCTTTGGAGCCGGTAGAGTGTGGGATCCAGGCATGGACCACATACTTGCAGAAAGGAATGCAAAACTGCAACTCCTGTGCCTGCTGGAAAGCAGTGGGGCCTGAAGCCGGAAGAGGAGGTCAGAGGTATCCGAGTGGGCTTCCAAGATGAACTTCAAGAAAGGCGCGCTATAAATGTTTGAAGAATTGTATGGAATTAAACAGTGGCTGTTCAATAAATACTCGACTGGTTGATCGATTGTTGGCAAAGCCTTCGGAGATCCTGAGAAGAAAGGGCCTTGGGTCCCCATCATTCTTATTACATAATTATTTCAGTGCATTTAAAGCTCCCCATTTTTCATCTTATACTTTAAACATCAGGGAAAACTGATGGGCCAACTTTATAATATTTTAAAATGACTCTACGGTGTTTTGGAATATTACATGACTATAAGAGTTTATGTATATTTAATATACTTATTAAAATATGCAGTAAGCCCATGGCTGATTTTCTCTAAGGATGTCTCAGTGCCGAGGTGGGACTTAAATGTTTAATACTAATACTAGTACTCATAACTCATATTTCTCTAGTGCTTTTCCTCTTTAGATCCATAAAGTCTGTGAGTGCCACATCAAGTGGATGCAGCTGGGCTTGCCAGCAGCCTGAAAGGGACCACATATGGCCTCTTGCCTTTCTCTGAGGGGAGAAGGGGTGACTCCAGCTTAAGGTTTCACTCCTTCTCCAGCATTCTCCGCCTTTCCAGACACAAATTCCCTTTGACTCTCTCTGAAAGGTTCCTAGTTATATAAAACTGCTGCTGCCAGCCATATGTAACAGATACTCACTGCCTCGGGACAAGGAAGAAAAGTTACTTTACACCTCTGGAGTACAAAAAGGCACCAATCACTTCGTTAGCTGGTTGAGGACAGGATGTGGAGCCTGAGGTTGAGCAGCTGGAGAAGGGACATACAAAGAGAGTCTCCACTTGTTATCTAAACCCACACCCTACTTCTTCCTTCTCTAGGTCACCGAGACCAGGACCGGTCCTCTGGGCTGCAGCAACTATGACAATCTGGACTCAGTCAGTTCTGTCCTGGTACAGAGTCCGGAGAACAAAGTACAGTTACTTGGTAAGCAGCACTGTGATGGTTTCCATAGCTTTCACACCTGATAAAAAAAAAAAAAAAAAAACCTAGATCACCAAATAGCAAGAAAAACTGCCTGTTCCATTTGGTTAAACCTTTCTTAAGAACTACGGCAAGCTCTGGGACCTGTATTTAACAACTTTCCATTACTCTTTTAAAAAACTTTCTGATATGGTTTTCCCTGTACCCCAGACCCATTGCCCCTGTCAGTTGACACCTCAATCATCCCTTATAACATTTCCTTCTCAAGTCCTCTGTCACAATTCTATAAGGAGCAGCATACCTACATCCTTATAAACCTTTACCTGGTTCAACGATCTTCATTTCCCAGAATGCCCTTTGCTTTATCCTAAAGACACATTGAGGAATAGCTGGCCTTTACAGAGAGGTTATTAGACTACCATCTCTGGCTCAACTAAGAGCTATACAGAGTCAGGGACCACTGCTTACTGGAACCACAGTCTGAGGGTGGCCCCTGCTTTCTGTTATTTGCCTGTGATCTTGCACATGGGCAAAGATTCAAAGTCAGATGAGCTTGAGAAGAATAAGACTTTTGATTTGAGACAGAACAAGCAAAACTGTGAAAGAAAAGGAAAAAAAAAAAAACACGCTAACTCTGGAGGCTGTGCATCTCTTGCTCTCTGCTCCCCACAGGCATCCTGGGGGCAGGGCTATGCAAACTGATTCAGTGAGAAGTTTATTTTTCTTAAGGCCAACTAAATTCTACTCTGTTTAAGATATTATTGTCTCAGCATTACAAAATCAATAACCCTCAGCCAGGATCTACAGTTACAAATTCCAGGCAACCTGAGTCAAATGGGACCCAGCAGTGCTTTAGGAATTAAGAAATATGTAAGATGGAGGACTAAAAACTCCTTTATTTAGAGCTACCTAGGGCAATTAGCCTTCCTCTTCACCAGTGTCCCTGGATGGGCTGGGTTTGTGTCTGGAAAGCAGCAGTGAGTGAAGTTCCAAATGTCTAGTTGTTCATTTGGAATAGTTTATGCTGTTTAATTTTATAGCCCATCACTCATGCAGACATTTCTTGGGGCACTTATTTTATAGCATGGGAAGTGTTCTGGTGAGGAGGAGGGAAGCAATGGGGGAGGTGAAAGGGAAGGACTGGGAGAGGGTGAGTGTTGAAAGCAAGCATGTGGACGGGGTGTGTGGGGAGAACCTCTCAAATGCCACAGTAGGCACAGTGCCAAGAAAGGGAAATTTAGGAGCAGTTCAGAATTGGTGGTAGACCTCAAGAAAGAATAACAAACACCCACTGCTGCTGGCGATTTTCAGTTACATTTTGAGGTCTGCTGAGACTAGGATACATACTTTGAGTTCTCTGATTTCCTGCCAAGGACAAGGTCAAGAGCCTAAAAATAAAGAGCTGGCAGACGTTTGGGGAAAGAGGAGCTCACCATATCCAGAAGTTCTCACATTCCTCACTTTCCTAGCACAAAATCTCACAGTGTTTCTACTGGGGGAGCCTCCCACAGATCTGACCTCGAACATGGCCCAGACTGCATCCAAAGGCATGCCTACCCTTTGTTCATCCTTTGGTAAGCTTCCAACTGCTGCCTTATGAGTGGCTTGAAGCCAACTAGTAGTGTGTTCTGATACAGGTAAACTGACAGTCACTGCAGATGCACGAGAAAATTGAAGCTCAGAGCAGTTTACTGCATTATATCCAAGATCAGAAGCTAATTGGAAGAGAGCTGAGAGCCATTCATATCTATCCAGGCATGACTGATCTCAGGGCATTGACCCCCATCCCACCTTCAAATCTTCTTAAGAGTTAAATCCTATTGAAATAGGACACCCAGTCCCAGTTATATAGTATTAGCTGATGAGACAAGGACAGGATCTGACACTAAGCGGATTCAATGAGTGCTGCGATTTGGGCAGGTCACTGTGGTCTTAGGGCTTGGATTTCCTTACCTATAAAAACCTCAGTATGAGCACAAATGGTGTTTGCAATCATATATAAAAAGTACTCAGCATAGTACCTGGACACTGTATATCTACAGTACCTGTTCCTATCTCTTAACCAGGACAGCTTCCTTGGTCATCAGGGCTGGGGTGGGAGGCCCAGAAGGATCAGAATTCAATAATGTGCTAGGATGCCTACTGCTAATCTTAGTTAAGCTATAAACAGGATGGCTATAGGAGGCAGGGCAAAAAGCCCATCAAGCCTTGTTTTCTCCCCCAAGAGGGCTATAAGCTCTTCTTTTATCTGAAACATCTTCCCGTTTCCATCCCAGAAATGCTGATGTGTAGCCAATAAGCCTGTTCTTATGATATGCACACTCTCAATTTGGCTGATGTGAGGGGTTTGGCCAAGCCTTGGGCTTTGATATTCCCATCTGCATTTTCAGATCCTCCCCCATCTGTCACTGGGGCAGCAGTAGCCTTCTCTCTCAACCAGCTCAGCAGGATCAGGCCCTGGGGTGACCATGCGTGGGCCCAGAATACACAAGTCAGCAGAACCTCAGCTGAGGTTCCTGCAGCCTGGGGTGTGGGAAACTGAGTCCTCACTTGTTCTGCCCAGAGATTCCTTGACACATCCTTTCCCCAGGCCTTCAGGTGCTGCTGCCTGAGTACCTGCGTGAGCGCTTTGTAGCCGCGGCACTCAGCTACATCACGTGCAGCTCTGAGGGTGAGCTTGTCTGCAAGGAGAATGACTGCTGGTGCAAGTGCAGCCCCACATTCCCTGAATGCAACTGCCCTGATGCTGACATCCAGGCCATGGAGGACAGCCTGCTGCAGATCCAGGACTCCTGGGCCACTCACAACCGGCAGTTTGAGGAGTCAGGTGAGCAGCCAGCTAACGCAGAATTCCTCCCTGTCAATGAGAGGTGGCTGTGAGGCACAGAGCAAGAACATGGGGAGAACAAAACTTGAGAGCTGGGCATCTTCATGGGGATCCTGACATGGCCACTTACTGTCTCTGTGACCTCAGGCAGGCTATGTTACCACCCTGAGGCTCAAGTGGTTTCATTTTTTTCTAGGACATAGGTAATATTTCTATTTACATGGTTGTGTTTTAAGGACTTAATAAGCTAGGATAAATGTAATTAAGGGCATAGACCTTGTTTGTCTTGTTTGCTTCTGATTCCACAGTGCCTAGAGCAATGCTTGCGCATAAGGTTCACTGTAAATATCTACTGAATAATGAAGTACGCAGAATGGTTCTAGATGATATCCAATACAATTCAGTCATTGTTTGTTGCTGTTAAAGTTAATATCAGTTACCTTGAGACCCAGATTCAAGATGACTGGTTTTACATCCTGGCCTGATTTGACAAGCTTTATGACCTTGGATTAGCCATGCAGCCTCTCAAGGTCTCAGTTTCCTCATCTGAAAAAGAGGGAGGGTAGGTTTATATGAGATAATGTAGATGAACTCAATGTATAAAGAACTCTGCATGTTATATTTGTACATTTCAACACCAAATGAATGTGGATATAGTTCAAAAACATAATTTTGAATAAAACAAAGCAAGACAAAAGGGTTTCATTATATATATATTTATATAATGTCTTCATGTAATACTATAATTTATTAAACGTAATACATATATAATACTATTTATGTAATGTTTACAAACAGGATACCCCCTACATAACATTTTAAAGAATAACTACATTTGTTTAAAAAAATATGTGACAATGGAAAAGAAAATATCAAGAGAGTGGTTACATCTGGATAGAGAGAAAGGATAGTTTAGGTCCCTCACATGCAGTACATTTGGTTTGCTTTATTTCTTAAAGAATAAAAGTCTGAAGCCAACATGGCAAAATGTCAAAAGCTAGTGGCAGACACATGAGAGTTTATCTTTTTATTCTCTGTGTTCTTCCATACACTCAAATGTTTTAACTGTGCACATACTAGATGTTAATGCCATTACTAGGCATGGTTCTCCAGTCTTCTGGGGACAGGAGGAACCAGGTACGTGAGAAACCAAAATGAGCTGAGGCCTCAGGGTTGCCATTTGAAGTCCTGGACAAGGCATTTAGTAGCTACGGAGAAAATCGCATTCCAGTCCCCCCAGCCCCATGCTTTGGGCTATGGAGCTGGAATACGGTCCATAACATGACTTTGGGCCTTCACTACTATGAGTTACTGTTAATAAATAAATGAGGGTTCTCTAGACCTCCACCGGGAGACCTGGTAGCTGCAGGCCCCAAGGAAAAGCAGAGCAATGCACAGAAACCTAAGCATGATTTCAGAGCCATGGTGTGCTCAGGAAGCTCTAAGAAGAACCTAGACTCAGCAGCAGCTTAGGAGCAGAAGGCGGTTGCTTCTGAATTCACTGTAGGAAAGAATGGGTATCTGACCAAGAGCTGAAGCTAAAAAGAGAAGAGTGTCTGAGAGTCAGAGAGGATGACATGGATGGGAGAGGCTGGTCTCAGGGACTGAAGGGTTTCTAGAAAGATTTCTGAGCTGGGTGCTGCGTCTTCTCTGTGCCCATATTTGCCAGTCTGGGTGCACCCTCACCTTCATGAGGGCCCCACATGTGCCCTGTGGGCGTTGTGGTGTTATTGAAGAGGTTGGCCTTGAGATAGAGTTGTGAGTGACTCAGAAGGAAGTATAAAGGGGGAAAGAGCCACACCCAAGGTCATTAGGAATAGCAGGAACCCTGGCCCCTCTGAGGCATGGGGTGAAAAAGATGAGAAAATGCCTGAGGCCATATTTTACGACATGTTAATTATTTCTTAATAAAGGTGTTGATTTAAAAAAGACACCTGGGAGAATGGATGTGCAGCCTCCTTACTCACGTGGTAACTCTGAAGAACCCTGGATCTGGGCAAGTCCACCTGCCCCTACCAGGGTTCTGCATAGCGGCTCCTCAACTCAAGTCCTGTGTTCTTATCCACAGAAGAGTTCCAGGCCCTGCTGAAAAGGCTACCCGATGACCGGTTCCTGAACTCCACAGCCATCTCCCAGTTCTGGGCCATGGACACAAGCCTTCAGCACCGCTATCAGCAGCTGGGAGCTAGCTTGAAAGTGCTGTTCAAAAAGACCCATCGGATCATCCGCCGGCTCTTCAACCTCTGCAAGCGCTGCCATCGGCAGCCTCGCTTCCGCCTGCCCAAGGAGAGGTGAGCAGCCCCTAGCTGCTAGAGCCAGAGCTCAGCGCCTCCTCCAACAGCTGCTGAGGCCAAGGAGAGCCCCTCTGTCCAATGTGGGGGATCTGGGAGGAATGGTGACTCACACATAGCCTTCCGGTTATCTCCACCTACTCATGCATGTCATTCTCAGTTGTGAGTTGTGTCTGAAGTGACAGAAAAAAAGATCAGCTGATTTTACTTTTATCTAAATTATAGTTGATTCAAATGTTATCTTAGTAATACTCTAATTCTCATGTACTGATTTCCATTTTAGTAAGTCTTAGAAAAGAAAGGGATGGAGTTAAATTTCATCCAGTAGCTGCATCTGATGAAAAACACAGGCACTGGATTATGTCAAACAAGTGACTCTGCTCCGGGTCACAGGAGGAAAGAAAGTGGAGACCTGCACCCTTAGGGATTGAGTGAGGCTGTATCATTACAGGCATCCATTTGTTCATCCACTCATTCATTTATTTATTTGACAAGTTTTTGATCCCATATTGCATGCCTTACTATGAAGCTGCAGGGGTATTAGCGAACTGGAAAGATTTAACAAACAGAAACATAAAAACTAGAAAATTATAACTATGTGGCAACCACTTAAATTTATGGTGGTGGAACATAAAGGGATAGTCTCCTAGAGGTAAAACCCAGAAAGGAAAGCTTCCATGAAGAAAGTCTTGGCCACATTGTGCGGGAAGAGAGGGAAATGATCTGGTACACGTGTAGTGGGACAGTCTTCCAGGCAAAGGGGGCTGCCTTCATAGCCAGCCACCCAGTGGTGCGGCTCTAACAGAGGCACAGGTGAGAAGGGAAGCACACAAAGAAGGGGTTTTGAGAGGAGTTCATTTATTCTTCATTCAACAAATAATTATTAAATGCTTGCCATGCACAGAAACAATTCTCATGTCTGAGAAGCTGTTGGTATCTAAGACAGTTTCCCGGCATTTATTAACAGGGAAGCAGTGTATAAACAAGTAAACAATAAATAAACAATACTTTCAGATACTGAGAATTGTCATGGACTGAATAAAACAGGGGAATGTGATGGAGAGTGAGTGCAGTGGATCATTTGGCAGGGACATCAGGGAAGACTTCTTTGAAGAGGTAACATATGAGCTAGAATCTAAATTGTAAAAGAATTAGCCATAGAAAATTTCTGCTCTTGTTGGAGGAGTGAGAGGAACAGAGAGAACAGAAAGGACAGAAGCCTTGAAGGGAATGGAAGTTGGCAATAAGTTAGAAGGCTTGAAGAGCCATCTTATTTAGAAGGATTTGTTTTGACACAAAAGCCGCTGGAGATCTTCTGTAAGTTTTTGGATAAGGGAATGAGGTAGGACTTGGGAGAGATGAACCTGGTTGCTCTCAGCACAAGTTTGGCATCCAGAATTTCCAGTGCTGACCCATCAGACATGGAGCTCTAGACTAGACTTTGCTCAGTCAGTCCAAAGCAGCACAGTAGAGTTTCCTCCACTCAGAGATCTCAGGGATTTTATCTTCCTCATTGCCTTCCATGCCTGGTGGTCGATGCCTTGCTGCCCTTAGGGAGGGTGTCAGTGTGTGACTTCTTTTGACTCTTCCTTCACTTTTGCCTCTGCTCCCCAAGGTCCTTGTCCTACTGGTGGAACCGAATCCAGTCCCTCCTCTACTGTGGGGAAAGCACCTTTCCTGGCACTTTCTTGGAACAGAGCCACAGCTGCACCTGCCCCTATGACCAGTCTTCCTGCCAGGGCCCCATTCCATGTGCCTTGGGCGAAGGGCCGGCGTGTGCTCGCTGTGCTCCGGACAACAGCACACGCTGCGGGAACTGCAACCCGGGCTACGTGCTGGCCCAGGGGCTGTGCCGGCCAGAGGTGGCCGAGTCCCTGGAGAACTTTCTCGGGCTGGAGACAGACCTGCAGGACCTGGAGCTGAAGTATCTGCTGCAGAAGCAGGATAGCCGCATTGAGGTGCACTCCATCTTCATCAGCAATGACATGCGGCTGGGCAGCTGGTTTGACCCTTCCTGGAGGAAGCGCATGCTGCTCACCCTGAAGAGCAACAAGTACAAGCCTGGGCTGGTGCACGTGATGTTGGCCTTGTCCTTGCAGATCTGTCTCACCAAGAACAGCACCCTGGAGCCTGTCATGGCCATCTACGTCAACCCCTTTGGGGGCAGCCACTCTGAGAGCTGGTTCATGCCTGTGAACGAGGGCAGCTTTCCTGACTGGGAAAGGACTAACGTGGATGCGGCTGCCCAGTGCCAAAACTGGACTATCACCTTGGGGAATAGGTGGAAGACTTTCTTTGAGACAGTTCATGTTTACCTACGGAGCCGAATCAAGTCCCTGGATGACAGCTCCAATGAGACAATCTACTACGAGCCCCTGGAGATGACTGATCCCTCTAAGAATCTGGGCTACATGAAAATTAATACCTTGCAGGTCTTTGGCTACAGCCTACCCTTTGACCCGGATGCCATCCGGGACCTGATTCTACAGTTGGACTACCCGTATACTCAAGGTTCCCAGGACTCTGCACTCTTGCAGCTCATTGAGCTCAGGGACCGGGTGAACCAGCTTTCTCCACCTGGCAAAGTCCGACTTGACCTTTTCTCCTGCTTGCTCCGGCATCGGCTCAAGCTGGCCAACAACGAGGTGGGCAGGATCCAGTCCTCCCTGAGGGCTTTCAATTCTAAGCTGCCAAACCCTGTGGAATATGAGACCGGCAAACTCTGTAGCTAATGGGAGGCCCATTTAAGCATAGGGCAAGGAGGGGATCCATGAATCTGGGGTACAAAGATAATCCAAGCCCTCACCTTAGTGCCAACAGGGTGTGCTCCCACGAGACTTTCAGCATCCAGCAGCTGGGACCTCGAGGCTGGGGACTGAAGCAGGCGAGAGAGAAATAGCTACTGTGTGCATGCGCGTGCGCGCGCGCACACACACACACACACACACACTCACACACACACAGGCACACAGGCACAGGGAGGCTACGACTTAGCAGCCTCAGCTCTGTAAAGTTGATCAGTGCTTTCTAAAATGAATGCAGTTGAATGAAGGAGCCAAGGAAGAGATGAAGAAAAAGAACCAGCTGAACCATGAAACAAACAAAAAGTCCTTAAAAGTGATGCTTGTCATTCAAGAAAGAGGGGACAACAATGGGAGGGGTCGGAGCTCTTCCTCTCCCTCTGTGGAGTCACTTTTGTATTCTTTTTAACCAGATTTCTTAAAATGTTGTTGTTTTGTGAATCCTGACATTGGTTCTTACTTTTGTATGCTGCCTCCTCTGTGCCCTCCCAGACGCTGACTGGGAGAAACATGAGAAGTTCAACCAACAGAGGAACCCGCGCCAAGGGCAGGCAGTGGCCTCCTTGCTCCCCTCCCTCACTCCTCCCTCTCTGCTGCCTCTTTCCCCCACCAAGTATCAGGGCCTTGGATTGTTCCCAGTTCCCCTTGTGGTCCGTTCAGAGCTCCTTTTCCAGCAGCATCTCTCTGTCCAAGAAAGCAGCCCTGTCAAGTTAGAGAGAGACAATGTGTAGGAAATTGTTCTTTTTTAAAAAAAAAATAACAAAAACAAAACAAAATTATTTATTTTGTGATTGTTTTCCTTGTCAATCTGCTCCAGCCACCTGAACATCTAAGTAAACATTTACCTGGTTTGATATATTTTTGGAAAAGGTCTTTTTTAGGGGGGGGAAAAATGAGAGAAAAGAGAGAAACAAAAGAGTATAGTTTTCTGGGTTGCCTGGATTTTTCTTTTTAATTGCTATTTGCATGACACAAGAGTGTCCGTGAAGCAGGGATAGTGCTGTGTGGGAAGCGGGTTGATTGATAGATACACAAGTTACACAAGTGAATGAGTGCATGTGTTGACTGGGGTGTGATGGGTATATGAGAGAGAGAAAGGAAATGAGAAGTGAGCTCAAACTATCCCCGAGAGTTGTCTCACTGCACTCCCGCCACCTTTTTTCTCCCTGGGTGTGAGGGCTAACATGGGTCCTAAAACCTGGATTTCCCACAATGGGGAGAGTAGTTAAAAAGGTCTTGCTCATAAGAGGAACTGCAGTCTTTGCCCAGGGCAAAGTCCTGCTAAAGGGGCTCCTCTTTGCCGACACTGCTGCAGACATCAGGAGAATTTCCCTACACTGCATCTGATGGTCTGGGATTACCCTTTGAGAAAACTGGGAAAGATGTAAATAGAGCATTGGCTCCCTCCATTCTGCCTGATTACCACATTCCCAACCCAAGTAGCAGCTCTGATGTATCCCACATGGAACAATGCATCCTTTTCCCCTAGTGCCTCTCTCCAGGTGGTATGAGAATCACTTCATAGCATCTCTTTTGGAGAATCACTTCTCTGTCTGTGCTTCACATTCCAACCACAATGCATAGGCATGACAACCCCCAGCTTATTCAGGAGAGAGTCACCACATGAAGTATCTCATTCCCTACCTGTGGTATATCTCAGTTGGCATCAAGTGAAATGGAAGACAGTGAGATCATGCATCTCTGCCTGGAGGCCTTCTATGTTTATTATTGCATGCAGAAGAATTTGACATTACATTTAATCATCGCATTGTCTTTCAACCTATAAGAAACTGAAATCCTTGGTAGAAAAGCAGCCTGGGGTGTCTCTTTCTTCACCACTCTCCTGAAGGCTTCCAGGGTAAAACTGCAGAGTGATAGGATGATCCGGGGTGAGCACAGTTATTGGCTATTTCTAGTTAAAGCCACTCTTGCTTTGGGAAGTTTGTACCGAGTTCCTCGCCCATGGGAGACGGAATAGGCAGATGACATCATCAGCAGGAGTGTTGAGAGGTACCTGATGAGGGTGCTTTTGGTGGGAAGGGGTGGGAAGGCTTTGATACCTTCCAGTGGCAGGGTTTGAGTGGTAGATACCAGAGTCTGATTTTATCACTCTGAATCTGTATGTCTACAGGCAGTAGGCGTGGGTGGACAGACTCTTACTCATTAATTAAAGGTGCACCTTTAGCAAACTGTCAACTGCCAGGCACAACACTAGTCAGATTGGGGAGGACAGCCATCGAGAATGTACGGCGCACAAAGCAATGTGGAGCCTCAGTGGCACAAGCGTGACTGCCCCACTGGGAACGGAGTCAGCACATGAGGGCTCATATCCCACCGGGGCCAGTCCCACAGTTGGGGTGAGGGGTGGGAAACCTCAGCCATCTGTCTTTGTATCAGTGACTAGGCTGGGAGAATATCGCACCTATGGAGTTATTAGTAAGGATGCTGTGTCTCTTTATCTCAGAGATATGAGAGATCTCTTGTTTTGAGAGGGCTTCAGGAAGATGATGGTGTGATGTATTGTGGCTTTAGGGAATATATGCACTCATTTACTAAGCTTTCCACATCTTGCCCATTGACGGTTTAAACCATGAAGCTTAGTGTTCCAACTCCATCTAAAAGTACTACTACACATTGGTAAATATTTAGTGGTGCCTTTGATTCCAGATGCAAGTATCATATTGATGGATAGCCAAACAAATATTAATTACAGAGGTAGAAATGTCTATATTTGACCTACTCATCTGTTATCTGTGATAGATGTCTGATTTGTCTGTTCTGCTTGGTGTAGAAGAGCTTGTGTCAAAGCAGTAGACCAAAGACTTGGCTTCTAGAACACAGGTGGAGGAAGAGGGGGTGTAAGGGATGGGTATCATCCTTTAAGGGGCTTTAAAAGACTTGAAATCATGAGTTTAACATAGGGTTTTTTAGAAAGCTTGGCTCAGAAGTGCCATAATAAGAAAAAGCTGTCCCCAGGTGAAACTGTCACCTTTAAAGTCTGTAATAATCAAAAGATGTGAACCACCTATTCACAGAAACAGCTGCAAATGAAGAACTGTCATTAATTAGTACTGGATTGTCAATGTTGGTGAACTCATTGTGGAATTAAGGGCAAAATCACAATATAGTTTCTACAATGCATTGGATAATAACGATTAGGAATTCGTTTTAATTGTAACCCCAAAGAACTAATACATCAAATGCTAATCTGTCCTAATGCTTGAGACTAATGCCTCTAATACTAAATAATATATTTAATACCTGCTGCTAATAAAATATTGCTATGCTCTGCAAACACACTCATGTATCAACAGCCAAAAACATAAATGAAGATCACTTCCAATACTAGGTATCACTAATAGTTTAGTTCCAGTTCTTGTGTGTTTTTTTTTTTTATTTCTCAAAATATAAAAATAGTGGTCATGGGCCTGACACCTGTAATCCCAGCACTTTAGGAGGGTGAGGCGGGCAGATCACCTGAGGTCACAAGTTCAATATCATCCTGGCTAACATACCGAAACCCCCTCTCTACTGAAAATACAAAAAGTAACCAGGTGTGGTGGTGGGCGCCTGCAATCACAGCTACTCAGGAGGCTGAGGTGGGAGAATTGCTTGAACCTGGGAGGCAAAGGTTGCGGTGAGCCGAGATCTTGCTACTGCACTCCAGCTTGAGCAACAGAGCGAGACTTCATCTCAAAACAAAACAACCACCACCACCAAAATAATGGTCATGATGGACAGAGCTGCCCTGTAAGTAGACAGAATATGTTACCTACATGACGTCCTTCCCCAAAATACCACTTGAAAGTCTGTAATTTCATCAGATAGGTCTATTCTCTTGTATTTCAGAAAAGTCTCTTTTTTTGCCAGTATACTTTGCATGAAAACTAAAACACTCTGAAGAAGAAATCAGTCGTATAAGTTAACCCAATGGCAAAGTAGGAAATTGGATTTTTGGAGTTGGAAGGTTTTTCGTGGTCATCTGCTCTAATCTCATTTTTGGCATGAGGAAAAAGAGGTTAAAACAATTGAGACTTTGGCCCAGTGCGGTGGCTCACTCCTGAAATCCCAGCACTTTGGGTGGCCGAGGCAGGCTGATCACAGGGTCAGGAGTTTGAGATCCGCCTGGCCAGCACGGTGAATCCCTGTCTCTACGAAAAATACAAAAAATTAGCCGGGCATGGTGACACACACCTGTAGGTCCAGCTACTCAGAGGCTGAGGCAGGAGAATGGCTTGAACCTGGCTGGCGGAGGTTGCAGTAAGCCAAGATTGCGCCACTGCATTTCAGCCTGGGCGACAGAGCAAGACTTCCTCTCAAACAAACAAAGAGAAGTTGGCCAGGTGTGGTAGCTCAGCCTGTAATCCCAGAACCTTGAAAGGCCAGCTCAGGTGGATCACTTGAGGTCAGGTCAGGAGTTTAAGACCAGCCTGGCCAACATGGTGAAACCCTGTCTCTACTAAAAATACAAAAACTAGCTAAGCGTGGTGTTATGCATCTGTAATCCCAGCTACTCGGGAGGCTGAGGCAGGAGAATTGCTGGAATGTGGGAGGCGGAGACTGCAGTGAGCCAAGATAGTACCGCCACACTCCAGCCTGGCACAAAAATGAGAAGTTAAAGAGGTTTCCCATGTGTGTCTATTATCAGAGCTAGGAATAGAAGTCCCATCTGGTTCCTTCTCTACTTCTCTTTGCCAGTAAGTGACATTTGGGTCCTAGAGGTGACAGGGGTCCAGGTCAGGCCTTAGGAATGTGGGGATGGAGGAGAGAAGGCAATTTTCCAGGGAGGAGAAGAGGCTTCTATGAGATGGAAGTATCTTCACACTTTTCCCTGTAACTGATTTTAGCAAAAATAATCAGCTACTATGACAAGTGAAAGAAAAGGACTGAGGTTTCACCCTCAGTGAAGCTTGAAGCACAGAGTAGACAGGTTTCCAACTAGGCTGGAAATGTGATTAACTTGCTGGTTTCCTGATGACACCATATCAGCTCCGTGCTTTTTAATGGCACCAGCCTGCCTTTAATTTGTTGCTATTTGCTATAAACCACCAATTGGAGAGTTTGAGTATCATTACAAACTTGATAATTTCTGAAAAGCATCTTCCATGTGAAGTCTAGAGGTGACTGGGTTCCACCAGCGTCCAAAGGTCTCAGGTTGTGCCATTCCTGTGGCCTAGATCTAGGGTCATGAAGTAATGAAGTGATACTCTGCTATATGCTGAGAATCCTGGCTCCTACCAACAGCAAACCGCAAAAAGCAAGGGCCAAGGGAGTCATCCCACCCAAGAAACAAAACTGTGGCTTTCACTCCTGACATGCTTTCCTTCTCTCTAGAACATATACTAGGCGTGTTAGGGAGGAAGGATAGACTGGGAAACTTCGGTAGTCTGATGCCATTATACACACAGCTTTCTTCTGGTTTCTCATTCTGGTGTTGCTACCAGCTAGCTCTGTAATTGTAAGCAAGTCTCTCCACTTCTGAGCCCCAGTTTGCTCCCCTATGGAAGAGGAAGTTGTTTCCCATGTGGGTACTGATTGTACTTCTGTTATCATTTCACCATGTTACAATCAGTGTGGCACAGGAGACCATGGAGGATATAAAGTCAGATCTGGATTTGCATGTTGGATCCATACTTACCATTTAAGTGACCTTCATTCTTGATTTGTCTCATCTGTGACTCAACTGTTTCATCTCCACCTTCCAAAAGTTTTGCATTTCCTTCTCTTCCTGAACATTCACCTCTTTGTATACATTTGCTCCACACTCCCCAACATCCAGCATGTCTCCCTTCAATTCCCTAAAACTCAACCTTCCTTCCTTCCTTCTTTCCCCTTCCCTCCCTCCCTCCCTTCCTTTC